ACACACTTTTCCTGAAGATAGAAGAGTTTGTTGAATCTGACGTGACATGTTCGTACGAACCCTTTGTACGAACAAAAGTAAGAGAAATTTAGGATTAGAATACGAACATGTTCTTGCATGAGGCCCTTTGTATTTTGCAACACAGCTGAACCATTTTCATTATTTAAGAGCAGGTCGAATCGAATTGAATCGTGATTAATCGATTCAGAACCTTATGAATCGAAACTGAATCGATCTAGAGAATTGGCCATGACACCCAGCCCTAACAGAGATGACTTACAATCACTGTTTAAATATTGGATTCTATCAGAAAAGAGAAGAAGTACAGAAAAATCAAACGCTGGCATCGTTCTTCCACCTTCAGCTCCTCTTTGTGTGGCGTTTAATCAATAAGAGCAGAATGCTCCTTTGTGGAGTTTATTGGCAGAGTGGTAAAAAAATGGCCGCTGCCCTCTCCATCACAACAGCACAAAGTGAGAATTGTTGACTCCTACCAGCCTACAAGAGAGGAAGTTCAGCAACTTATTCAATATGAGATCTGGAGGCGTTTACTCACCATCTTGGCGTCGGGCGACAGCAAGCTGTGGCTGTGGTCCAGTCCTCCTGGAGACACCTGCTGGAGCACCGACTGGCTGGTCACCAGGTTGCTGCTGTGGTGACTGATGGCGCTGGAGGAGTTGGCATCGCCTTGGCTGTAACGCACTGAAAAACAGAAAACAGACGGTGGGGGTTACTCTACCGGCTCGCAGATCCAGATCTAGGCGTCACTGCTGTCACCCCGTTCGACCAATCAGACTGACCCTGACTCAAACAGGGTGGGACGGGGCGAACAAACTCATCTGCGCAGCTCAGCCAAGGCCAGCCACTGTGTGTCGACAACAGTACGACTCTCTGCTCGGCACACAGACGCCGCTGACGACGTGTCTGATTACGTCAGCGTGACAGCGTGAAGGGGTCAACGACGTGTGTGTGTGTGTGTGTGTGGGGGGGGGGGGGGGGGGCAATGTTCAATAAAAGATTATCTGAGAAGGAATTTTCTACTAACGCAAAAATATCAGTAACAAAAATATTGATCTTTGCAAAGTCACTTCTTCAGGTTGTAATCATTTTGGTCAAACTTTGCTCAGAGTATATCTTCTGGATTACTCTCAACTACTACCACACATTTTAGCTCATCATCTATAAAACTGGCTAAATCCAGTGTTGTATAAAGTACCTCAAATCGATACTTGAGTAAAAAATGTACAAGTACCTTGTCATGAAACTAGTCTCCTCCAAGAATATTAATTGAGTAAGTCTTAAAAGTATCTGATTTTTTTGTACTTAAGTCTCAAAAGTAAATTTCTGATGTAAAATGTACTTAAGTATTAAAAATTAAAGTGTTGAGTAGAAATGAGCGCTTATGTTTTCCAAAATGAGATTTATTGGGAAAAAAAATTCCTAAAAGCGTGCAGCTGTGTACAATTTGGTGTCAGAATGGTAAATATTTATTCTCCTCATCCAACTACAATTAAATTCACTCTGTCCAGGAGGCACCATTTATCAGGATAATATATTTTTTAAAAATAATGAGCCAAAACTGAATAGGAGTAACAACTTTCTACTTCTTACCTTATTTAAAAATGTAAGAAATAAAAAGTACAGATAACTGTGTGAAAATCTAAGGAGTAAAAAGTAGGCTGAAAAATAATTACTCAAGTAAAGTACAAATAACCAAAATCTCTACTTAAGTATGGTAACAAAGTATTTGCACTTAGTTACTTTACAACTCTGGATAAATCACAGCAATTTTCGTGTTGAGTTGGTTAGCCACGACGGCCATCTTGAGTCAGGTTAGCTCCAAACGTTAATCAGTTCCTGAAAGTTTCATTAAGGTCCGTCCAGCGATTCACAATATATTTTGCTAACAGACAGACAAAGCTGGCTCCAAATATTTAATGTAAAAGTTTTTAAAAGAGCTTACACAATCTGTCAGCACTCAGAATATGTGTTGAGGCTCAGCTACTACTTCACCAGATCAGACCGGCTCTTGCTCCCCTCTGTTGTCATCTTGTCTCATGTGTGGGTTTACTGTGTTGTTTGATGTTTTTGTTGGATTACGTGTTTTTTATATGCATTTTAGCTTATAGTATTTTAAGTATTTTGAAGTGTATTGTAATTGTTATTTTGTAATTGTGTATTTTACATTTAATATTTTATGGTGACGTTTTACCATCTGTCTAGGGACTGCAGAACAGCAATCTGCTGTAAAACAGCAATTATGCTGAGTCAGGCTTGATTTTTAATAATCTTTTTCTGTTAAATAAATAAATCAAAATCAAATCAAATCAAGCCCTCTGGGTAACTCTGGCATTTTTAAAGAAATGTTATTAATATGTACTCTCCCTTTAATAAATAAAGAAAATTTAAAAAATATCTGTAAAACTAACAGAGGTGTAGCTATTTTTGTGGCTGTGGCAGCCATATTGACTTTAGTCTCTGAAGAAGTAAATCCAATCATTACTTCCTGTTAGTTTGATTAATTTATGTCTACACACACACACACACACACACACACATGCATACTAGGGCAAAAACATTATCCCCTGCCTTCACTATTTAGTGTTATTAATTATCTAATAAATATGAGTAATCACATATTTACAATGTTGCAATTTGAATAAAGATAGAACCATCACTTAATCCCTTGTCTAGACTACAAGTTGTCTCTCAAAGGAATGCGCACACACACACACACACACACACACACACACACACACACACACACACACACACACAC